GTGGGGGGAGCCCAGGACTGGGACAGCAGGGGCTCTGGGTTGGGAGTGAGGGGCGTTGGCAAAGCTGGGGGGAACCCAGGGCTGTGCTAGCCCGGGCTGCGGGTCGGGAGTGAGGGGCACTGGCAGAGCTGTGGGGAGCCTAGGTTTGGGATAGCAGGGGGCGCGGGTCGGGAGTGAGGGGCACTGGCAGAGCTGTGGGGGCTGCTTGTCCTGAGCTCTCTGCTCTCCCCTCTGCAGGGTCACTCGCTCTCCACCCGGACGCTCTCCCATCCCTCCTTCTACCCCTACTACGTGGCTTTGTCTTGCTCCGCACCAGGGACCCATCCAGTGCCCCACGGGGACCGGCCCCAGGGCTCTGGCCTGCAGGGGGGCCCAGCCACTGGATCAGGTAGGAGGCCAAGTGGGGTATGCGGGGGGAAGGGAATCTCCCTTTCTGTGGCTGGTTCAGCCCTGGGCCCTGTGGGGAAGGGCAGGGGTCTACCCTCCCCCCGCCCACGATCTCACCTTCCCCCTCTCTCTGCTCCAGGTCTCCTGCTTCCCATTAGTTCCAGTGAATTCTTCTACACGGATCCCCTGATGCCCCCAGGGCACCGGGTCTACAACTACCTCTCCCACCCCTCCCAGCAGGTATGGTGCCCCCAGGGGGCGGCAGGGCACAGCAGGTGGGTCCCCGCTCCCTAGCGTTGTCCAAAAACGGTGGCTTGGATGTCTTAAGACCCCATAATATCATGTGGCAGGCAGTTCTGCAGGTTAACCATATATATTATCCTGCCCCAGGGGTTACTCAGGGTTAAATCCCAATAACTGCAGGTGGCTGGGACGTCCCCTGCTGCAATGAGTTCCACAGGTCAGGCACTTCTGCAGCTTAACCGCAATAGTAGACTGCTCAAGTGGCTCCCATGGGTTAAATTCCATTACTAGTAATGTGGCAGGGAGTTCCACAGGTTAACCCTACTAATAGCTTCTGCTAGAGTGCCTCAGGGGTGTCAGTAGTTAACCCTCCCCACAATATCATGTGGCAGGGAGTTCTGCAGGTAACTTCCCCCCTCACCCAGGTAAATAACCTCCCTCTTGTCTGTTCCCTCCAGGTCTGTCAGAGTCTCCGTCTCAGCACCCCAGACCCCATCATGTCGGTCCGTGAGGCCTCTCCTCCTCCCTGCCCGCTGCCCCCCAGGGGCATGAAGTGGCTCTCGCAGGCAGAGTACAATGCGGTCAGTGCCCTACTGGAGCTGCCGTATGAGGAGCCGGCCTGCAGCCCCGGGGAGAGCTCGCCCGGAACCCAACTCCTCCTGTCAGCCGTGGAACCGGAGTATGGCCGGGTGGTAACCCAGGAGGCCGCTAATGCCCTGCTCAGCCTGCACAGCTCCCCAGACACACTGGGGGAGGGCCTGGGGGGCACTGAATCCCCAGCGCTTCCCCATGGCCTTGGGTCCGTCATGCTAGGGGCCTTCTTCCCCCATGGGGCTGTAGGGGCAGCAGCACTTTAATTCTCACGCCCCCTTTCTCCAGTGATGGGCAGTTCCAAAGGTCAGGGCTGCCAGTAACGTGGCGGGGAGTCCCGAAGGCCATCCCTCCCCCTAATGACCTACCTCAGGGTTTTTTACATAAGTTAAACCCGAGCCACATCATGTAGCAGGGAGTTCCACTGGCTAAGTCCTAGTTGCCTCCTCAGCGAGTTTTCCACAGCCTAATATCCTGTGGCAGGGAATTCAGCAGGTTATCCTGCCTATTTGCCTGCCCAATGGTCTGTCCAAGGTTTACAGCCCAGTCAAATATCATGTAGCAGGAACTTCTAAAGTTTAGACTCCCAAGACCACGTGGCAGGAAGTCTCTCAGACCATCAGCCTGCCTTTGGGAGTTTTCTGTGGGTCAATCCCAGTCATACATCCTTTGGCAGGGAGTCCCACAGGTTACCCCTTGATTGCCTGTCTCAGGAATTAAATCTCTGACATAATATCTTTGGGTACGTCAGTTTAACTCTGCTACCATCCTAAAGCAGGGAGTCCTGCTGGTTCACCATACCATGGGTTAAACCTGTGCAACATCCTGTGGCCGGGAATTCCACTGGTAAACCCAGCTGACAACCTGGCAAAGGGCTTTTTCAACAGGCCCATGCCGTTGTTACCCTGCAGCAGGTAGTTCTACAGGTTGACCTCAGTAACACACCCGCTGGGTGTCATTTGGCCATGTGTGGAAGAGCCAGGTTTGACGATGTAAAGGGACAATTTTGAGCCTCTTTGCTGTGGAACAGTGTTGTCATGTGTGGAGTTATTTGTAACTTTTTCCGTTCTGTTTCTTTAATGTTAATAAATGAGAGTCCCAGAGGGACGGAAAACCCAGTTTGTGGGTTAGAAAACAATGTGCTATGTCTTTAAATCCAGTTCCGATCCGGCCCCAGGGTGAGGAACTGGCTGGTTCAGGGGGGCAGGGAACGGGACATGGGGCCTTTCCCCTCTAGGGGCATCGGCTCCCCTCTGGCCCCAGGGCGGGGGACTGGTGGCTCGGGAGGCTCAGAGGATCTAGCCCAGTTAGCAGCCTCCCCTCCCTGCCACCCTGAAGTGTCACAATCCTCAATGCTGGGGGTGAGGGGAATTCAACATTTTCTTCCTGACCCCTGAGGTGGGTCGTGGAGCATGAGGGTGACTCCCCCCTCCCCAACTACAAAGACTCAGGGACAGGGCTCCACCTCCCAAAGCTCTTTATTGCAATCAGTCCAGAAGGGGGGTCCCATCCAGCCAGCGCCCAGCTCGGGGTCCTGGCTGGCTCAGGGGTTCTTGTCAACACTGAGCAGGTTGCCACCTCTCCTGGCACTGTAGCCTCCTCCCCATCTTCTCCGTCACGGCGTCCAGAAGGTGCAGCACATCAACCAGCGCAGCAGCATCAGAGCCCAGGGGGCCGTGTCCATGTCCATGTGCCCTGGGTGTGACCTGGGGCTGGGGAGGAGACAAAAACGGGGGGAAGGGGGCTGTGGATCAGCCCTGCAGCCTCCCGATCCCTGGGACTCTATGTGGAGGGCAGATGGACAGCTTAACCCCACTAGCAAACAGGCTGAGCCCTGTCCAATCCCAGTACTATCATGTGGTGGGTAGTCCCACGGGCTAACCTCAATAATAAACTAATACACCTCTACCCCGATACAACGCTGTCCTCAGGAGCCAAAAAATCTTACTGCGTTATAGGTGAAATCACATTATATCGAACTTGCTTTGATCCGCCGGAGTGCGCAGCCCCGCCCCCCCCGAGCCGCTGCTTTACCGCGTTATATCCGAATTCGTGTTATATCGGGTCGCGTTATATCAGGGTAGAGGTGTAGCAGGGAGTTTGTATTATCATTGTGGCACCACTGTCACACCATTCCCCCTCCCCATGGGCACTAAACTCCCCCACTTCTCAACAGGCCAAGGGCATGTACTCCCGGCTTGCAACAAGGAATTCCCTGTGTGAATTCCTTTTATAAGCCAGTTGCAGAGTGTCCCCAAATATATCCCCCAGCCAGGACTTCCATTTAGCCATACTAATAGCCTAGTGGCAGGGAGTTTCACAGGTTAACGACACCACTAACCCTCTGCCAAGTAGTCCCACAGGTTAACCCCACTAATTACCAAGTGGTAGGCAGTGGTGTAGGAGAAACCCTCTAATGGCAGGGAGTCCCACAGGTTAACCCTCTAATAACCGACTGGCAGGGAGTCCCACAGGTTAACCCCACTAATGACCAAGTTTAAGGCCCGGCAGGTCTCCAGGCACCTCCATGCTGCCACCCAATGGCAGCTGTAACCAGGTCGTGCTCCACTGCCCATGACCTGTTACAGACACAGACCATGGGAAGTCCCGCCTCAAGGGGTCTGACAGCCTTGTGGCTCCTGATTGGCTCCCCGTCCTATATACACCCAAGGCGGGTTCCAGAAAGGGTGTAGGGAACAGTGTGGGTCTGCTGTAGCCACCACCACCATCCCTACTCCTGAACTGGTTTTGACCTTGTTTCCTGACCCAGACCCTAAAACCTGACTCGAACTCTGACCCTTGGGATCGACCCCGGCCTGGAACCTGCCTATGACTCCGCTGCTACTCCCAGCCTCAAGTTGGACCCTGCTGCCCTTGTCAGAATGCTGACACCAGGTGGCAGGGAGTCCAGCAGGAGAACCCCTACAGGAGGCCAGTGACAGGAAGCCCCACAGGTTAACCTAGTACTATCAGACCACTGGCAGGCAGTCTTGTAGGTTAATTCTACTAATAATCCAGTGGCAGGGAGTCCCACAGAGAAGACCGCCACTAATAATCAAATGGCAGGGAGTCCCACAGGGTACACTCCACTAACAATCCAGTGGCAGGGAGTCCCACAGGGTAAACTCCACTAACAATCCAGTGGCGGGGAGTCCCACAGGGTA